ATCAAAAATATGAATTATATTAAAACTGCCAGGTTTTTAATATTAAAAATATAACAAGAATAATATAGCCAGGTTCCCACACCACTCTACCTCTTCACATGATTTCCATCCAATGAGATTCAAGTGCAAAGGCAAGGAAACCTCAGACAGCTTGCTATCTGATTACTGACATAAAAGACAGCCTTCAATCCCAGAACACCATGAGCTATCTATCCTTCAAGAGACTCTGGTTAATGGCTGTTTATTGAATCAAGCCCCAAGCATAGCTAGAATAAATAAAAGTTAGATGTTGTTTACTTGAACAACCCTCTGTATCCAAACTAAAATTTCAAAAAACATTTACAATTTAGCAAACAAGTGGTACCATTCTACACCACAAGAATAATGTCATATCCCATTATTCAATTATATTACCCAATACTTGGCTATGCGTGTTATTAACTATCTACCTCCCCTCTAGCCTGTCAATTCAAACTTAGGAATGGCTAGGTTAGGTAGTCTTTGTGAAGCATGGATATCTGAAATAAACAAACAATTTCTCAGATTAAAAGGTCCGGGGTTTACTATAATAAACCTCACGTTCACTGAGCAATAGGTTTAACTTAATAATTTTTTTACTTGTCAGTTTTATCGTGCATATGATACCTTTCATATATCTATTACTGGATCAATGATGTCATAAAAACACGTAGATTCAAGAAGTCTTGTTAAAAAAATGATAAAAACCCTATAACCTGAGCATTTGCAGATAGTGGGCCCTTCTTCTTCAGGGACAAGCTTGGATTGGTCACCGAATGAGTGATATATAATGGAGATGAGGGGATTTTGATAGTTTCTTGGAGATTGCTTGATGCTATGGTAGTTTCTGTATGATAAAGAAGAGGATTCGAAAGAATGCTGTTAGAAGTGTTTTTTGAATTGGTGTTATTGGTAGGAAGCTGATTTTTGTTATTCTTTTTGAGAAGGAATGTATCAGTTCTCTTTGTAAATTTTTGTAGTTCTTCTTTTTTCTTCCAGTGAAGGGTTGTACAGGTGATAATAGTGAGAAATTTCTATATCTGGAATATCGACAGAATTTTGACAGAATGTTTTAGTCATATTCATGAGTTCTAAGGAGGTATTTTCAAGGATCTGTTACTACTTGTTACAGAAATTCTGATCATGTGTTCCTATTGTGATTGGTGCTTTTATTGAGATATATTTAAGTTTTGTAGGTTATACACTAGCGACTTGACATATTGACAATGTCATGTGCGTTTCTCGGTGAGTTTTCTAAGTTTTTGAAATAGTTGTTTTCTGCTGTAGTTGAGTGATTCGCCGCTTGGTTCACGTTGAATTTTGGCCGACATTGGTGAGAAGACGTCGTTGTAATCGTGAGATAGAGGGTGGGGAAGTTTAAGGGAAGGAAGAAGGGGTAGCTGTCTTCATCAGAGTGTGTATTACACATTGACGAAGTATAGACAGTGCATTGCTGGTCATTGTGAGAGTTGATGCTAACAGATAAAGGACTACTGTGTTCTACTGCAGGTAATTCTACAAGAGACTGGTGGAGTCGTCAATATTGTTTTGTCAGCACATGCAGTGTTTACACTAATATTGATTTTGTGAGGTTTTGGAGTTAAGGGAGTGAGTAACGAAGAACGAACAACAGAAGCATAAGAAGGATGAATGTTGCTATTTGTGGAAAGTGATGTTTTGGGGGAAGTGTGATTTATAATAAATCCCCTAGTAGAACCTAAAGAAGAACTTGGAGGATCACTGTGAGAGAGTGAATGAGTTTGTAGTTGATGTATTGAGTGATAGAGGTAATATTATGTGTGACGTTGGTAGCTTCTGAGATAGGGAGAAATGTAGAATTTGGACATGGAAGGGTAGAAGAACTATTAGAAGTAGAAATAGGAGATGATTGGGGTAACTTAGAAGAGGAAGACAAGAGTGGAGAATGCTACGGGAAATACAGTATCTGAAGTCTGAGGCTAAGGTAAAAATACCAGAAAAGTTAAAGTGAAGTCCATCTCGTGCGAGAAAATTAGTAAATGATATTACGTTTGTGTGGTTAATGAAGACAAGTTGGGGGTTAAGTCTGCAGAGATGTTTGGTTCATTCATGAGAATGTTGAATTTTATTGTTGTGCTGTTTTGTGGGTTGCAATCAGAGGAAGGGTGTCTGTAGATTACACTAGAGATAACAAGTTTAATGTGTACTATTGTGTTTTCCAGTTCTGACAAACAGTCTTATCCGGTTATTTCAGGTAGTTAGTACCAAAGTGAATTATCAGAAATCGGGAAGAGAAGTGGTCATAGCTATGGCATTGTTATATATATCACTCATTTGATTACATCACCATTCCCAGTTTTCCCCTGAAGAAAAACGGGGCTCACCTTTCGAAAGCGAAAAGAAATGAAATAATTATTTGATCTAAGTAATAGTTTTTGTCTTCCCGATCTGTAAATAATCCTTAAGTGATAGAAAAAATTAAAATTATTTTTGAAATCTGCGTAGCTGAATTATGGTAAATCCGATATTAAAACCAAAACAACTTTTATGAAGTTTAAATTCGTAAGCCTGTGTAATCCCAAAATCCTGAATGTTGTTTTTAGTTGTTTATGTGCAATTTTGAATTATTCAATTTTCATTGCCAACTGAACAGCTTCCATTAAAGATGTAAGAATAATTTGTTTTAGCCTATTTAAGATATCCTGATCCACTATGACATTTATGAATTGGTCACATGCCAAAATTCCATAATTTCAGCCACAGCATCTGGATGAGCTAATTGGGCAAGCATTTTCACATTTTCAGCAAGTTTGGATTAAGCATTGTCCTTCTTGCTTACACTGCTCCTTCTCATGTTCTGTTGATGTAACCGAAATAATACAGAAAGGTCCTGCAATCATTAGTGGTACAGCAGTAGTGATAATAGGTGTAGATCAGATTGGTTCTCCTGTTTCATATCGTATAGTTTTCGGTATTTGAGGTTGAATTTCTTGAACAAATGTGGAGAAAGGTGTATCTGATTGGATTCTTTCATTTGCCATTTCAGTTTCTTTATGCCTTTATCATAGAGTTGATTATTTTGTACATTTCCTTTGACTTCTATGAATTTTTGTGTCATAATCTTTCTGTATACTTCATTGATGTGTTTTTAATATTTCTTTAATGTCCTTTAATCCTTTTGTACTTCACTGATGTCCTTTTGTACGTTACTGATGTCCTGTTGTACTTATTAATTACAGTTACCATCATATTTTTGTACATTTCCCTTTGCTTCTTGGATCTCGTCTTTGATGGAAGTGTGTTTGCTTTTAATTCTTCTGTAAATCCCATGTCTTGTTCTAGTAATTCCTCTCTAAAATTCTTGTCTTTTTCTTTTATCTTCTTTTAATTTGTTGTAACTTTCTTTGTGATTTTTTTCAATTTTTTTTTCTTCTCTTCCTTCTTCGTGTTCTTTCCACTGTTTCATTATTTCCGTTAAATTTTGAATTTCCCTTAGAGCATACGTCCTTAAGTTGGGCTTTTAGTTTCACCAAAATAATCTCATTCTTGCCACCAGTGTTGTAATAGTTTCTATTGGTGGACAGGTTATTGGATTATTTGGTAAAAAGAATAATGCAAAGGCCAGTCCACTTAATTATAATAAAAGTGTTTTATTTCTTCAACTACAAGTTTCACATTTTTACGTAACTAACCTAACGTTCACCAAGCAATAGGCCTAACTTAATATTTGCACTTACTTGCTCATTTTCTCGTATATGTGGAACTTCTTGTATCCATATTTCTGCATCGCAAAAAAAAATTAAAAAACTGAGCTAAATAGCTATCTTACAGTAATTTACGCAAGTTACAATAATTCACTCACTTCACTGACTAAGTTCGCTGACAAACTCAATAATAAATATAATATAGCCTAACGTACGTTCTTTAACTTTGAAATGATTCCATATGTTAAGCCACATGCTCATCGTGTGACGTTAAACATTCTTTCGTTCGAACCACAGTATACATTTCTACAACACAGAATCAAATTGAAAGATTAAGCTATGTGTCATTCTTCATTTGTTCTTTGGTGATATGTTGACATGTAATTCAATTATGTTGTTTACTTGAAGAGAATCTCTAAAAATATCTAATTTATCTAAAGTGTGTGTGTGGGTGGGGGGGTAGATAATCTCCTCTTCAATCACTTCATATTATTATTTAGGTTTGTTGGAATGGTGTACATTCGTTTAAACTTAAAGATTTGGGGCACTGGCTGCGCTCTCTGAATACGAGCATATACGCTCGAGCCTATGTGAGTAATAGTGTTACAGCTGTTCAAACACGAGAATAGTATCTCGCAACGCAAACACACACACAAAAATGGTTTGTTTCTTTCCTTACGAATTTCTCGAATTACGTGTTTCTAATATTATTCTTAAAAAAATAGCATAACGACTTTTTTCTCATTTTTCTTATTGTAGTCTGTTTTTTCTTATTTGTCTTTCGAGCTTGAAATTAATCACATGACGCAAGTAAACTAAAGTTTCATTTATTTCATTGATTAGTCATTACTCTTAGTCAGTCTGAAGGTAAATGAACAAACACGATTTGGTAAGCGATAAATCATGACGCTTGGAAATATCATTTAAAATGTTTACATTTACTGAATACGTTAAGTTGAAAAACGTTGTACAAACATATACAGATAAGAGCACAAAATAATTTCTCCGAAGTCTTGATAATGTAAACCTTAAAGCTATTTTTTTGACAATCATGCAGGATAACCTAAAGCTGGTTTTCTATATAAAGTCAGAACTCCAGTTCCACTCCATTAAAAAACTGTATTAAAAATATTTCATGACCAGAACTTTAAAAAGCAGAATGAAATATATGATCTCGCTTTCTATTATTGTAGGTGTTTTTGTTCTTGGCATGACAGGCATTATGGTAGCTTCTCCCATAGAAGTTGCTGAAATCAGTTACGAAACGTCTAAAAATTTTCATCTACAAAAAAGCGCTCTGTTTTGGGAAGAGACGCCGGCACTTGATACAGTAATGAAACGAATTATAGAAAAGGTTAAAAAACTTACTGGTACGTATATAACGTGATAAAGAGTTCTTAAATATCATTCTTATTGCTAGATTTATCTCAAGAAGTGTCCTACTAATTGCAGTTCCAAATCTTGGTACATATTTCATTATCTAGCATTGGCTCAAATACAAGACAAACAACAAAGAAACGTGTATTTTTGTTCGTTTTGATGATATTCTATGAAAATAAAGATTTTTCTGGCATTTTTTATAAGGCAAGTTTTGTTTCATTTCAGATGGACTTCAATTGCTTGTGGAGCGGTCCATCAAGGCCTGGCAGATCTTCATGGGTGGAGACAGTGGAACAACGGTAACTGAAGGAGGAGTGACAACAGGAGGCGAAACGGTAAGAGGAAGAACACTCCTTTAGCACTTATATGTTGGCACCTGTCAACTCCGAAATTAATTCAAATGTATTGAATGTGAATTCCAATATTCCCCATTAAATCTATCGGTAGTTTTCAACTGTGTTTTTGTATTAATATTTCTTACATAGTTATGATTGTAAGATATTACCCAGTTTTCTTGGCATCGTGCATGTTTCAAAAGGATATATTTAAGAAATATTTATTAATTTAAAATTCTAAGGAGGAATAATACACGTGGCTCTTAAACTCCTTTGTTGAGACGTTTTACCGATGGTAATAATCTTTTAACAGTGCTTTAAAGCAGTAAATTACCAGACTGAAGTATAAACTAATAATGTTATATCTTTCCAGACCGAAGAATACCCAGCATAGTATAAACTTGGAGGCCTAATCAGTGGAATTCTCAAGCTTTTGATTAAAAGCTGAGACGGAGCAGATCTTCATTATACATTGCTATACATGCATGAGCAATGCAAGTTTATACATATTATCTATTTATTGCATTCGGTTTATTTGTACTGCAGTATAGATCAATATTCTGTGACACCTGTGTATTGATTGTGGACAATTGTAGATAAAGTATTGATATGCAGAATTGTCAATGTTTTGCTTTCATGAAGACTGAGATAATGAACAATAAATTTTAAAAAGTAACAGCGCGTGCCTATGATGTCTATTGCAGGACATACTCGTAGTTCCAAAAATCAATTGTATTATTTTTTTTGTGCTTAGTTTAGTGAAAATAGCAACTTATTTACAAGTACAGTAAATACAGCTTAAAGAAGCCGTTGTGCAGGAATAAAAGTATTAAAAGACAGCGAGAAAACTTTCTCCAAGGCACTTTCACAACGTAACATTATCAAAAGATCTAGGATGGAATATGGCTGATGTTTCCAATGATTATTTAAGAATCGTTTACTAATTTAGCTTTAAAATAGCCCATAATAATATAGAGTTCTCGACCAAAAATCACATTAGTCACCAAAAAGAGTTATTTGGATAATGAAAGAAATTTCATGAGATGCGAAATTCAAGGTATACTTTCAACTCTACTTAAAAGTTTGATGTTGATTTACTTTTTTCGAGTACATAATATTTGAAAATGAAGTTTCTTCTAGAGATTCGTCAGATCAAAATAGTTTTAAACATAAGCGAAATTTCAAGTCCAGCTAATTATTTAATGTGTATTTACATTGTAACTTAGTATATGATATTAAAAGATAATTTCTCAAAATTAGTAAACTAGTATGAACTAACTAAAATAGTTGTATTACATAATTAATGAAAACAAATGAAAAATATTTAATATGACAAAAACAAATATTCAAATAAAAATGTCGAAAGCATTATGGCTTTTTCTTAGATCAGTATGGAGATCGTTGCAAATAGATGGTGTTGACGTTACGGTTTCTTTCATAGCTCAATATGGGTATGGATATAAATAGATGGTGTTAATGTTATGGTTTGTTTCACAGCTCAATATGGCTATGGTTGTAACTAGATGGTGTTGAGGTTGCGGTTTGCTTCATGGTTCAATATAGCTATGGTTGTAAATATGTGGTGTTAACATTACGGTTTCTTTCATAGATCAAACTGGGTATAGTTGTAAATAGGTGTTGTTGAAGTTATGATTTCTTTTGTACGTCGATTTGGAGATAGCTGTGTACAGTTTGTGTTCACGTTATATTTTTGTTTGTTTCACACTGATAACAACAGAAAGGAGCCTGTCGTACAGTTTAAAGAATTTGCTGAATGGAAAATTTACGCTTTGTTTACTTGAAATGTGATATGATTTGTGACCACGTGACAACGTCTGCGGCTGTCTTTTAAATGAGATTCAAATTAGATCTTATAAGTATCGGCTAGGTATATGAATACATTTTCTTTCCAGCTTGAAAGTATTGCTATTTAGTTACATTTTGCTGGGTTTTACATCGATGGATATTTCACATAACTTCAGGCAGTATAATGAACCAGGCATGGTCTCAAAAACGCTTTCCGAATTTTGTGATCGTGGGTGCGCTATAAGAGTGACGGCCAAAACCCATTATTCGATCAGATAAGAGTATCCCGAGAATTTGCTATGGGCACTGTTGACTAACTGTTTTCTAAGATTAAGAAGATTTATTCGCAATAGTCCTTGTGTAACTTTGTGCGAAAATTCAAAAAACAAACAAGCAGTATATGACCTTTAAATCCTATACGAATGCCCTTTAAATGCTCATCACACTTGTTAATATTTCCCAGTTTGTTTGTTGAATCTCGTGTGAATCTACACAAGGGTTATCTGCACCAGCCGTCCCTAATTTTCAAATAATAGACTAGATGGTAGATAGTTAGTTAACACCACTCATAGTCATCTCGCAGACTATTATTATAAAATAGTGGGATTTGACTGCCACTCTTATAGTGCACCAAAGTGCGGAACGCGATTTTTTTTTTAGATGATAATAGTATGACCGACTATGAATCTGAGGTAAAGTGGTTCAAGCTACATTACTACCCTGTGAACATAGGTCTACTAGTTAAAATAATCAAGTTAACTTGTGGAACTTGGATTTCAAGAAATAAATGGCTTGCATTATCATTAAATGAACTGGTCTTTGAATCCCTTTTTTTTCCGAGTGATAAAAAAAATTCAACAATAGAACCATAAAAGTAATCGAATTATTGTGACATAAAGATAAACCAAAATTATCTTCGAGTTGACGACATATGCTCGAAGCAAGATCGAATAAATGCTGTAAATGATGAAACTGTGGAAAGACAATCAATAAGAAAGTGATAGAAAATCAAAATAAGACCAAGGGAAAGAGAAATAAAATTGTTAAAATGCCAAGAAGATATAAAAAGAAAATAAATAAATTTCAAGAAGAGGTTGATGGGAGTAAGAGAGGGATTAAAACAATGAGATGTAAGACTTGCAGAAAAATTACGAAGAAAAATATATTTTATCAATGACAAGATTGAAGAAGTCATAGAAACTGTACAGACTGAAGTACAGCCACAGAGGATGTACAGAAGTCTTTTAAAAACAAGCTTAATAAAGTACAAAAGGAGTATAAGAACAAGATTAAAGAAACTATAGGAAGCTATAAAAAAGGACATCCATGAAGTACAAAAGGGCATCAAGAAACTGCTTTGGTAAATGCAGTGCTGAAACCACCTACACCTCTAGTTGCACCCACTCAAGGATCCTGGCCTCAAACTTCATTTACTATGCCATATAAAATAAAACAGCCCATATGATCTTCACCTGCTATTTGCTATTAATGTGCCAGTGTAACTGTAGGACCTTCATGGACCACTCCAGCTACACTACTAGCTCATTGTGATACTGAATTTAGTATGTCAGTTCAAAAACACACCCCAGAAGTCAACAGATTATATTAAAAATGTAGCAATGGAAAGCATATCAAGCACAGTTTGATATAATTTTTAATTTTTAAAGTGAATGGGTGAAGTAGTGAATAACAATCTACTCGTTTTGCTGCTCACTTAGAAGGAACAACTTTAACAACATTAAGCAACCTTCCATCTTAGAGATGTAACAGCTACCAGACATTAATGCCTACGTTAATAAACAAATTCAGAGTGTTACATCAAAAGCGAAGTTTCTAAAGCAACATTTAGGAAAAGAGTGAGAAGGGCAGACGAGACTTTAGCTGAACTTGCTGAACATGTGGAAATACTTACCCATTTATCTTATCCAGATGCTCCACATGGATTGATGAATTTGATGGCATGAAATCTATTCGGAGTTGATTTAGTGGGTGGAGATATGTGAATTAGACTAAAGCAAAGTATCCGTACAGCTTTAATTAAACAATATGGGACTGTCAGATAAAGTAGTTTGATGGACTGTGTTACTTATTACAATTTATACGAGCCTCCAATTATTGCGTAACGTATTATAATTTCCAATAGACTGAAACTGAGTTAAATGATAATTTAGATTTAGAAGTTGAATAAATGTCGATATGTATTCAATTTATGATACTTCCTTTATGATATATGATAGTAAGTCCGTCATAATTGCAATCTTCAAGTCTCTCCATAAATTTTCTTTTGGATTCAATTCAGGACTTTGACTGGACCACTACAAGACATTCACTTTCTTCTTTTGAAATCACTCCAGTGTGGGTTTGGCCTTGTGCTTCGATTTATTGTTCTGTTGAAATGTAAATTTTTAACCCAGTTTTAGATTCTTGGCTGACTCGAGCAGGTTTTCCTCTAGGATTCGCTTGTACTATGCACCATCCACCTTCTTCTCAATCTTGACAAGCTTACCAGTCCCTGCTGATGAGAAGCATCTCCATAACATGATGCTGCCACCATCATACATGACAGTTGTGATGGTGTTGACTGGATAATGTACTGTTTTGGGCGTGCACTAGACACAACTCTTTAAATTTAGCCAAAAAGCTCAATTTGTGTCGCGTCTGACCACAAAACCTTCTGCCACATGTCCGAAGTATTATTTACATTCTTTATCGCAAACTTCATACGATATTTCAGATGATTCTTTTTCAATAATGACTTCTTTCTTGCCACTTGCCCATACAGGCGAGATCTGTGTAGGTATATGGATATTGTCGATGTATAAACACTGGCTCCCATCTCAGACATGGAATTTTGCAAGTTTTTCAAAGTCACTGTTGGCTTTACAGTAGCATCCCTAACCAATTTCTTGTTTGTCCGGCTGCTTAGTTTGGAAGGTTGGCCTGATCTGAATGGGGACTGGGTGGTATGAAGCCCATTCCACTTCTTAATGATGGACTTCACTGTACTCAAAAGGAAATCACCGACTTGTAATCTTCTTCTGATCTGTGCTTCTCTATCATTTTATCACTGACTTTTTTGGAAACTCCTTGATCTTCTTGGTTGGTTTGTCGTATTACTATATGAGATGCGACTTGAGCAGATGCATTTACTCTGAAGTCAAGTTAAACCACTTTGATTACACACAGACAGACACCATTACACTAATTTTGTGACTTTTCAAGCTAATCATTTGCACCTGAACTGATTTAAAGTTGACATATCAAAGGGGTTGAATACTATGTAACTGAAAATATTCTAATTTCCTTTGAAAATCTAACTTAGTTACATAATATCAGCTTTCTCAGTTTGAAGTAGATTATGTAGATTCTAAATACAAAGTTCCATTTGAAATTTTCTTGACTGCAAGCTCAGAGAGCAACAAAATGGGGAAACATTGCAGGGGGTGAATACTTTTGTAAGGCACTGTATGTACTTAGACTTTACTTCACATCCACACTTAAGGCTTATACTAACCTGATAATTTCATTTATACAATTATTAATGATAAACCCCACGTTTTCTAAATTATTTTGAAGTCTACCACTAGTAACTAGCACTTAGTTGTAATTTTCCTACATTTCAATCAAAACATTGGTTATATTCAACAATTATATTTTGATATTTCCAATCTCAGCACCATGCTGC